AGAGGAGAGGATAAAAATTGCCCACCCTGGAGGAAATCACAGCCTAGACAGAGGGGCAGGTGTGAGTGCAGAGAATCTGTACCGGGGCTGTGTGAACTGTTGCAGTAGCCTCATCGTAGACTCCTCCGCCTCAGACTCTTCTTCTCACTCATCCTCCGTTCTTTTCACTTTCCTGCATAAAGCTCTCCATTGCTTAGAAAATATAGTCTAAATTCAGTACAAAACCCTTCAACATTTGGTCTGAAACTCCCTTTCCATATTCAAATGACGCTCTAGGGAACAATGGGAGAGTAAAGTGATTCCACTCAGAAAGACTAAGGATCCCAGTGTTGTTCTTCCACTGGAATGTGGCCATGCACAATTTCTATAGTGCTCATCACTCCCTAACTTGTGCCTCCGGCAAGAACTAACTTCTAAAGAAGGATGGAGTCCTGCAGTCAGGGAGCAGCAGGGCATGTCCCTGTAGGGACTGGTACAGAGGAAACAAAATGTTATGAAAGATATTTAACTGATAGTGGGCCCTCTTTTCCAACCCCACGCACCCCAGCCCCCAGGCCTCCAAAGAGGGAGTATTGTATTTCTGAATGTCTCCTGGGACTACCCTTGAAGATAGACAGGGTGGTGAGTACTGGAGATAAAAAGTGCTTGGAACTCACTAGGCTGATGCACTGAGAGGACAAGAGTTGAGGAGTGTTACCATGGGAAGGCTTTTTTCTTTGGATGTGCCTATTTTAGTGAGTGGGGAGTTCCTACATGGCATAGAGACAGGCCCTTCTTTCATGCATCCCTCCAAATTCCACAGTGCGCCTCTAACAACTGGACACTCTGAGAACCAGCAGGTAGTGGGGCCCTGAGCAGTCCGTGGGGAGCAAATATCTGACTGAACTGCCAGCGTAGCTAAGAGGTCAGCCCCAACACCTGCACCAGGTAAAAAGCCCAAGAGTTAAGATGGCAGCACCATGGACTAGTGATGGGATCTCCCTCATTGTGCCCACGAGCACCAAATAAACCCAATTTTTTGCGTAATTCCAAAGAAAGAGCAATCAAAGCCTGAGTCTTCTGTCAGTCAAGTGAGAGACAGCTCAGAGAAATTTATGCTTGATTTAGAGATTTAAGGAGTGCACCATATACCTCGTTCTAAAATATTTATATCACTAGACATAGATCAGGGGTTGTTTCCAGATAAAATGCTCAAACCACTGTTTCTAGATCCCTGTACACCCTTTTGCAGGCTGAACCCATGTACATGGGTCTACAGCAAAAACCACAGTACACTCTATGATAACAACCACCTCCCCATTTCTGCATCCTCATTTCTGTAGGCCACAGGCCAAGCCCAGCCTGCTGCAGGTGTTTGTATGGCCCTTGAGCTAAGAATGGTTTCTACATTTTTTTAAATGGTTGGAAAAATCAATACAAGAATGATATTTCATGACACATAAAAGTAACATGAAATTTAAAAATCTACTGCCCACAAATAGTGTTATTGGAAGACCCATGATCATTTGTTTCCTTGTATGACCTCTGGCTGCTTTTGCCATAATGGGGGCATTGAATGGTAGAAACTGAGACCCGGTGGCCCACAACATCTAAAGCTCTTATTATCTGGTCCTTCACAGAAAAAGTTTTCTGACCCTTGCTTTGTTTGCATGGAGGAAGAGGTGATTGACAATATTTAGGAAGAAGTGTGACATTCCTTATTAGTAAACCAAGTGCCCAGTTGGAGGTAGATCGAGCCCTAGTCTCAAGCCTTCTCCTCCATCCTGGCCCAAGTGGGGAGAGTGCCACTGTCTAGGCAAGTCTTCCTGGCTAGACAGCTTCTATGCCATGTAAGGACTTGGAACAATGGAACAGAAAGGGAAAAGCTGCACAAAGAAAGCACACAGGAACTAGACAATTCCCAGGCCTGCAGCCTCTACCTGTTTCGTGGTAACGGCATATCTAAATACAGAAGATAAACATGGAGGGGAGGCAGTAGACCAGCCTGGACTGAGAAAGGAGTCCCCAGCTACCAGCCACAGGAAGCCCACCTTCCTCCCTGCCACAGAGTTGCGGAGGTGGAGAAGGCAAAATGACATCTTGAGTAAAAAACTGGGAAGAATGACAACAGGGAGAGTGGCCTCCTCCACACTGCTCTCCAGACCTGAGAGAAGACTGCTGAGAAGCGTCCGAACCCCACGAGCCTTCTGAGTGGAGCGGACTCTGTATCCTGAGTGTGTTGATGCTCCTCCGTAATTATATTCTGAGAGAGCAGCTTAGTTTAGATATTTGGGGAAGTGAATAAAAATGATTTGGCAATTAAACTACATGCCTCAAGGAATTGTTTAAATCCATTCTTTAAGTTTCTTCCTTTAACTGAAAATATTAGAAATTTATATAAATTCTCACTAATGTCACTTTTCCATTCTCGTCTCTCAATCATCTTTGTTTTCAGTTGAATTAGGCAAGCTGCTAATTCAAAACAATACCTAATTGTTTTTCTAGTCTTTCATTTTACATTTATTAAGCACTTACTGGTTGCGAGGCACTGTGCCAAGTATATGTGGAAGGAAACAAAATGAATAAAATAAAGTCTCAGCCCCAGAGACATACACAGTTCAGGAGGAAAGATATAAATGATTAAAAATGACAAATATTTAATACTGGGGAGAAACCATATGGGTATGTGTACGTCTTTAGCGTAAATCTACTGAGAAGTTTGGGTTGTGCAGACTGAAAACTGACTCAGGATAACACCCGAAACGAACCTTCCCCTCAGCTGACAGAGTGCTCTGGTGAAAGGTGGTTTCCTAGCCAACTGCCTACGTCAGGGTTTTTCTAAGTGTGGTTGGAAGAGCGGCCCCCTCAGAGCAACCTGGAATGTTTGCTAAAAATCAGAGCAGCCTGTCCTCAGACCGGCTGAATCAGACTCTCCACGGCAGGACCCAACACTCTGCCCTGCCAAAAGCTCCACAGGCAGATCCTAGGACAACTGGAGACACAGTTGGATGAGGAGTTCTTAAACTTTTCTGTTCCTAGAATCATCTGGACCTTAACCCAATGAAAGCAGAATATCTGTGGAGTGGGCTTGGGCATCTATAGTTTGTGACACTCACCAGGTGATCCCAATGGGCCACCAAACTTGAGAACCAGTGTCCCAGCCCCACTGGCTCCCTTAACGTTCCACAGAGAAGAACAGGCTCCATCCATTTCAACAGAAAAGGAGACTTTTTCCCTCTCCTTGATCTAAGTAGGCATCTGCATTTAACAATTAAGCAGCCCATATTGTCTTTTTGTCTAATCCACCCTCCAAGGTCCAGACCTTGGACTTCATGATGCAAACTTGATCCATTAATAGAACAGACAGTGCGTGTGTGCACAGCACGCATGTGCCAGCACCATGTGGAGAACCAGAGGAGAGGAGTTGAAAAATACAGTCCAACAAGCTACAATATAAAAAATGCTAACATTCAGGCTGTCCAAGGGGCTCTGGGGATGCAGGAAGGGATACCCAGCCGGAATTGGTTGTACCCGTGGAAGGCTGGGAGGGAAAGTCTCTGCAAAGGCTTCTCGGAGGAGGCCCTTGTGCGGAGTGCAGGACGAATGGAAGTTAGGCTCCCAGAGAAGGAAGAAGCGGTGGCCAGCTGAGCAGATGCCCAATGCAAAGGCACGGCCATACCTGAGTTTTTTGTAATGTCTGGCACAGGATGTGACTGCAAAGTGTCCCTGGCCTGAAAGATCACTCGGCCACGCTACCAGTCCCTTAAGGGCCCAGAATAATCATTGTTCTGGCCTACAGATTCTCAATCCAGCTGCAAGTTAGAATCACGTGAAATATTTTAAATTAAGTCCAGGCCTCACCCCTAGACATTTTGATTCAATGAGACACTGGTGACTCTGTGTTTAAACAAGTTCCTTGTGTGATTCTAGGAGGTTGAGAGTCACAGGTGGAGTCTTCGTAAACAGAAACTGGCCTTGACCAGGGGCTACATGGACGTTACTAGTTGGCAAGAGTAGGCTGAGGCTGGAGGCTGCAGGCTGCACACCCCAGCTCTCCCACCTCCCTGCCCAGGCATGTGGTCACTGCATTGCCTTCAGTGGGGTGAAACCTCAGCTGCAGTGTTCCCAGGAGAGCCGCTCACCTTGCACAAACGGGGTTGAGTGATCCCTGGCCTCTCCCAGATGCTTAAGTTGCCACTCCCGAATTCCTACATTCCTGCATTCCTGGGAGCATTTCTACAAGCACACCCTCGTTTCTGACGAGAGGAAGGCCTGTACTGACAGTGGGGGAAAGCCCCCGAGTACAGTAGATCCTCGATGTATCCCCAAGGCATGCATGCGAGTACTTGTCAAGAGCCAAAATGCATAAATTCTGCCACGGCACATGATAAAATTTCCCCCATTAAATTCAGTGAAATGAACTAAAATACTGCAATCAAGTGCTTAATGAATATAATGGAATATGTAAAGAGGAATGGAAGTAGTAAACGAGCAAGAGAGGGATGCTGGGCAGTCGACTAAGTTTACACACCAGCTGGGCGACTCCTGGGCCACCGAGAGCAGACAGCATGTGATTCAAATCTGTGCTCCAACAGAAGAACAAATTGCTACAGGTCATAAATCTTCTGGGTCATCTGCAAATAGCTGAAACCAGGAATGTTAAATCCGTAAATGCCAAGGGTGCGTTCATATATCAAAATGAACATTTGTGCAGACAACACGAGTCCGAGTGAGAGAAATGTGCTGTTGCATTTATGTGTAAATAGGATAGATAAAAATCTATCCACTGAATCTATGAAACAATATTTCTACAGGCCCCCCCCATTTTTCTAAGTCAGAGATGGATATAATAAAGAGATTTTTCTGAATTAATATTGGGGCAAATGATTTGGGAGAAAAAATTCTGAGTCATAAATGTATTTATAAAGAAGGGCTCCGAAGAGGATAAAGGGGGAAAAGCTACAAACAAAACACAAAAACAAAAAACCATGATGCTGACAGGAAGTGCTAAGGCTGGAACGAGGGACCTGTATCTGAAGAAGGCGTGAGGTTCAGTTCACACAGCAATGAGGTGCACATGAGGTCACATTGGAACAGCCAGCCTGGGAAGCCCATGGCTGCCCTGCAGACTGCCCAGGGGCCATCCAAGGGTGCGTCTGGAGACGAAGGGCAGAAGTCCCAGACAAGTCAAAATGAAGAGGCAGGCAGCGTCCTCCTAAAAAGACACCAAGGCAGTTACATAAACATCTAAAAGATTATAGAATTCACCCCTGGGAGGATGAGAGGGGAAGAAAAAGATCTCAGGGGAAATTTTAACTTTTAAGTGACTGAATTATAAACCTGAACTTGCTGAGAAAATTCTGAGTTGGATTGAGTTTACTTGGAAATGACTAAATTCAAAACTTTCTGCTGAGTCAGAAATTACATTTATTGTAAGAAGATCAAGAAGACAGTTTTACACATCCGAGTAAGTAATTGGAAACTACAGAGCGGTCTCTCAGGCTTTGTTTATTCTCTCCTCCTCACATGGGCACCATCCCTCCTTCACTGAGGTCAGGACAAAAGCAGCGGCCACTCCCTGAGGTCGCCTTCCAAAGCCACTGAAGTGGGAGGTGGCCAAGCCAAGGGCACCAGCAGAGGCAGGTGTATCTGTTCATTTGTTCACTCACATATTCCACAACTATTTGCTTTGTGCTCCACACCCTGGAATTCTGGATCACGGAGCCAAGGGGAAGTGTGAGAAGCCAAGAAAAACTACACCAGATATTTCTTCAGGGAGACTGCCCCCATTACAAACTTTCTTAACAAAGAGGGGTGTGTGTGTGTGTGTGTGTGTGTGTGTGTGTGTCTGTGTCTGTGTGTCTGTGTGTGTGTGTTTTAAATTATAAAACCCAGTAAAGACGGTCTTACACTGGTTCGACTTAAACTTTTTTGACTTTACAATGGTGCCAAAATGGTACGCGTTTACTAGAAACCATACTTCAAATTTTGAAATTTGATCTTTTGTATGTATAAGCAATACAGTGCTCCCCTGGAATGCTGGGCAGTGACGGTGAGATGGCTGGGCCAACTGTAGGCTAAATGTAAGTGTCTGACCATGTTTAAAGTGGTCCAGGCTAGGCTAGATGTTCAGTAGGCAAGGTGTATTAAATGCATTTTTTACTTAATGGTAATTTCAATTTACAGTGGGTTTTTCTGGAAGTAATCACATTGTGAGCCAGGGAGCATCAGCACTGCCATTGTGCCAGCGAAACAAGCACATACCTACCCGGCATTGAGAGTAAAATGTGAACTTAGGCTGCTTTTCTGAAGGCAGTTAGATGCTATGCACCAAAAGTCTTTAAAATGTGAATCTTCTTAACCAGAAATTCCAGTTTTAGAATTTACTTATGGCAGTCATTTTTATTTCTTTACTTACTTATTTTGAATTTATTGGGGTTACATTGGTTAATAAAATTACATAGGTCTAAGGTATACAGTTCTACAATAGATCACCCGTACACTGCATTGCAAGACAGTAATTTAATGAGTGCAGTGTCATGTTTAAGAGCGTCTCCTTTGTGTCAACAGAACCTGAGTACCTAAGTCCTAAGTCCTAATACCATTTACTAAGTGAATGAAACTTTGGACAAATTACTGAACGTGAACTTCAACTTCCCAGGATGTTAAATGAGGGTTGTGGTAAGAACTATCACAGAAGGTTGCTGTGAGGATAAAATGAGCTCAGGCATGTAAACGCTCAGCACCGGCACACCTGGCAAGACGTGCGAGGTCAATAGACGTTGCTGCTGTCCTTGATCCACACTGTGTTCTCTGCATAAAGATGACGGCACACGGGTGGTCACCACACCATTGTCTGAAAAAGGGAAAAGCTAAAATGCAATAAAAATATCTAATAATAAATGGTTCATAAATTTTGACACATCCATGAAATGACTATTATGTTGTCCCTTAAAAATGCTATGGAAATGTATCTATTGCTATAGAAAAATGTTCACAATGTGTTTGTGAGCCAAAGAAGCAGATTTACAAATGAGCACACACAGCATGAGCCACTTTTTCTTTATGTATGCATATATCTGCAAAGAAAAATATATTGAAACATATACAGACTCTAAGATATTAAGATGGTTGTCTCTAGGAGAATTATAGATTTTTTTAACTTGTATTATCTTTGGCTTTTATATTGAATCTGTATTGTGCTTACAATAAGCAAAAAGAAAAAAAAATCATGGTAAGGTCAGTTTTAAAGTGCAAAATCTCCTTGGGAAATCATAGGTAAATTTCATCAGATGATTATGAAAAATCAAGATGATTCCTCACATAAGAACTTAAACTAATAATGTACAGGGGTGAGGGGAATAGAAAATCATTGCTGTGAAGACCCACCAATGGTGCTAAAACTTACGGGTCAAAGTCCAAGGAGAATGTTTGTATAGTCTCAAAAAACCTCCCTCAAGCTAATTATTACTCACCAAGGGTGAGATAGCACCTTTACAATGAAGATGTCTGGACTAAGGTTATTACCGTTACCAGCAAAGAGACACATCAACATCATGGACCCCCTGAAATGATGCCCTATATGAGAAGAATACCTTTGTGGTATTCTTGCCCCCAAAAAGCAGAACTTTCATCTCACCATGAAAATACATCCTACAAATTCAAATTGAATGACAGTCTATAAAATACTGACAAGTTATCCTCAAGAGTTTCAAGATCATGAAAGACAAGAAAAGTCCAAGAAACTGTCACAGATTAGAAAAGACAAAGAAGACATGACACTAAGTGTCATGTGATGTCCTAGATTGGGTCCTACAGCAACTAAAGGACACTGCTGGAGGAACTGGGGAAATGCCAATAAAGTCAGCAGATAAGCTTATAAAATTGTCCCACTATTAATTTCTTAGCTTCAATTATTGTAAGTGGTTGTGATAGACATAGCATTAAAGGAAACCGAACAGAAAGTATATGAGAACTCTCTATTATTTTTGTAATTTTTCTATGTCTAAAATTATTTCAAAATAAAAAGTTTAAACACAAAGCCAGACTGAACAGGCCTAGATAATTAGAGTTAGGCATTATTAGTGAAGTCCTCAAGATGGCCCAGCCAGGAATGGTCTCCATCCTACATCTCTTTCTCATCCTAGAATAGAAAATATTGCTTTTACAACTCGTTAGGTTAAAACAAACTTGGGAGAACATAGCATGTCACTTTCTAGCATATAACCACAGAGAACACTCACAGATATTATCAAAATTCCACACTTCTCTTTTGAATTGTCACTCTTCAAAAGCCATAATTTCCCCACTGCAATTCATTACTACAATTTTTTAAAATCTCAATAACTTTTTTCATGTCATATCTGTGAGTCAACAAAAATTAAAGGTCAAAGTCCTTTGAATTTTAAATATCCAAAATGTATCTTTATAGTTGCCTATTTCTTTTGTTTGCCCTTTTAAAATTAGATATGAAATGTTTGTTTTGTCAATGCTTACTAAATTGGTATCTGATACACAATGAAAATCACCAATCTAGACAGGCTAATAGACCTCATGCCTCCTAAGGGAACAGATGTTTACTCTTATTTCAAGTCTCTTGGCAAGTAAAACAAGTAGCAACTACAAACGCAACTAAATTTTTTGGAGTCTGCTATGTTTACATGTATTGTCTCACTGATCTTCACAAAAACCTTCTAAATGGATATTATACCATCTCCATTTTACAGTTAGCAAAACTGAGGCTTAAGAAAGTAAATTAATTTTTTCAACATCACAGAATAAGTGGCAGAATTGGGCCCCAGTTGTCAGATACTCTGGGATTTATCATTTGTTTGTTTTCAATACTCTTGTGAATATTCTATGATGAATACCACAGGTGTTAGAGGTCTACCTAGAAACTTCTGTAAATCCCAAACTGCTGATTTAGGAAGGGATGTCTATTGCACATAGCAGCCTGCTAGCATAGTTCATCCTTTCCACCTTTAGTTAGCACAGGCTAACTAAAAATACGTAGATCTGATTAGAACAGGGCAAACAAAAACTATACCATAGAAATCAATTTAAGGACCAAATGGGAGCTTGCTTATCTAGAATTTCTCCCTAGCTACATAGAGATTGATTTTATATTTTAATATGCAGATTTCCAGTTGACTTAAGATGAACACTAGATTACCTAATCACTGTAATTCCACATGTTGAGACTTTTACTATAGTGAATATATGACCTTCTTATGTGTACTCTTTCCTCTCCTCTATCATCCTGTATACACCTGCCAGATTAATCTTCTTAAAGTTTAATATTTTTTGCAAGAATGGTACAAAAAACTATCTTACACTCTTTATGTCTCCCAATTGTTAATTTTGCCTCATTTTCTTTAACATTGATAGTGTCAGTCCCTCCTCTCTTTACACACACACACACACACACACACACACACACTTTTATTTCTAAACCATTTAAAAGTAAGTTATTTAAATCAGGTACTGTTACCCTTGAACATTTCAGTCTGCATTTCCAAAAGACAAAAATATTGTAGTACATAACCACAGAAGAGTTATCAATCTGGAAATTCAACATTGTTAGACTATTTTTTCTTTTTGTTTATTATTGTTCTATTACAGTTGTCCCAATCCTTCCCCACCCTTCCATTGCTCTCCCCTTGCCTCACCCCCCTGAGTCAGTGCGCACCCTATTGTCCATTACCATGGGTCCTTTATATATGTTCCTTGACCAGAATCTTCCCTTTCTTTCCCCCATTATCTCTCTCCTCTGGTCACTGTCAGTTTGTTCTTTATTTCCATGTCTCTGGTTCTATTTTGCTCATTTATTTTGTTCATTAGGTTCCACTCATAAGTGAGATCATATAGTATTTGTCTTTCACTGCCTGGCTTATTTCACTCAGCATAATATTCTCCAGTTCCATCTGTGCTGTTGCAAAGGGTAGAAGTTCCTTCTTTCTTTCTGCTTTGTAGTATTCCACTGTGTAAATGTACCATAGTTTTTTTTATCCATTCATTTACTGATGGGCACTTAGGCTGTCTCCAGCACTCAGCTATTGAAAAAACACTGCTATGAATATTGGAGAGCATAGGTTTTTTTAATTGTTGTTTCACCAGATCAAAAGGCAGCTCCATCTTTAGTTTTTTGAGGAAATTCCATACTGTTTTCCACAATGGCTGTACCAGTCGGTATTCCTACCAACAGTGCACTAAGGTTCCCTTTTCTCCACATCCTTGCCAGCACTTGTTGTTTGTTGATTTGTTAATGATGTCCATTCTGATTGGTGTGAAGCAGTATCTTGTTGTGATTTTAATATGCATCTCTCTGGTGGCTAGTGATGTTTGTTGAGCATCCTTTCATATATCTATGGGCCCTCTGTATGTCCCCCTTGGAAAAGCATCTGTTCAGGCCCTTCCCATTTTTCAATTGGGCTGTTTGTCTTCCTGGTGTTGTTGTATGAGTTCTTTATATATTTTGGAGATCAAATCCTTGTGTAAGGTATTATTGGTAAATACGCTTTCCCATATAGTTGGGAAAGCATATCACTTTTCATTTTGCCAATTTTTTTAGGCATGCAGAAGCTTTTTAATTTGATGTAGTCCCATTTGTTTATCCTTTCCTTTGTAACCTTTGACCTGGAAGATATATTGGTGAAGATACTGCTGTGTGGAATCTTCTTAAAGTTTTCATTACTTCATTCCTCAGCTGAAAAACCTTAAATGGCTCCATACTGCCTTTGAAATATTGTCTAAATTCCTCACCACCCTGGCTCCAACCCCTCTTTCCAATAAAATTTTACCATCAGTTAGGATAATTTCTGTAACAACTAGCAGAAATCCCAACTCAAACCAACATAAATGAAAAACATACTTATTTTCTCATATAACTAAAAGGACTGAAATAAGATGGGCTTTGAGGTAACTTAATCTAGTGGTTCTGATTCCATGACCCTAGGATTCTCTCTTTCTCTATTTCTGTTTCTGTTTCTCTTTCTCTCTTTCCCTCTCTCTCCCCACCCCCACACTTGTCAAACATTCTGTACTCAAGCCAAATGAAAACATGACTCCTTGCTCTCTCACTTTGTCATGGAAAATCTTCCCCACCATCTCTACCCTTTCTTCAAGGCCCACATCTTCTATGGCCAATCCCTGTCTTTCCCCACCCAGAGCTTTGCTCCCTCTCTCTGTAAGTCCGTGGTGATTTATGTCTGTATCTTTGGCCCTTGCTAAAATATCCACTTACATCCATGTTCCACCTGCTGTACTACACAATAGGCTCCTTGAGGGCTGAGTCCAAGTCCAACCCCTTTCTCTGTCCCCATTTCCTGACTACTCCTTTGTACATAGGCTCTCAATAAATGAGCCAATCCATCCACAAGTCAACCTAATGTCAAAATCTGCAAAGTTACTAATCCCAAGGCAACATTTTCTCCCTCTTATTTGGTGATCTTCAGGGCCTAACACAAATAAGAAAAGCTTTTTTTATTTCTTAATTAAACATGCCATTCTCATCAAATAGTAAAGAGAACTGCTTTTTTAAAAATATCAAATTTAAGAAAATTCCTAAACCTTGAGCTGAAAACAGCCAGAGGACACTCATGTTTACAGGAGTTGTTTTCTGCAGAAAAAGAACTTGGAACAGAAGCACTGTTCCAAAGTCTAAAGCCATTCCAGGACCTGGGCTAAGCCTACCTCATGCTAGTGATGCTTCCTCTGTGTTCCCTTCTTACCTGCACATTATCCTTACCTAGTGAGACACGAGACAAAAAAAAAACAAAAAAACAAAAAAAAAAACAGCCATCTCTGCATCACTCATTCTCTAAACCCATTCAGAGGTGTGAAGCTAACCTTCTCTAAGATTTACCTGCCCAGGAGTCAAGTCCAAAAGAAGCACTCCAGAGAGAGTGTGGCTTAGGGGAAATTACATAGTAAACTCTGGCTCCCAAGCCACCTCCTTACCCAATATCTTTAACCATGTAAGCTACATTGGAGCCTATATTATCTCAAGCAAATTGGGCAGCAGTTTTGTTGTTGTGGTTTATTTGTTTACATATTTATTTACTTATGTTTAGTTAATAACAGCAGCAAAGAAGCCAGCAAAAGGCAACATGATGCCTCTTTGCCTAAAGTGCTATGTGGGAGAGAATGAAAGTTTGCTTTGGTATAGGAGGAGGTCAGTTGTCTGGCTTTGGGATTCATTCAGTCTCTCATCCTAAAATATTTAATGAGTGTCTGTTAGGTACTATTTTAATTATGAGCTTCTAACTTCCTTGGGGCCAGCTGCAAAAGCCAGCTCTTTCTTCTGCCTAAGCCACCTCCCTCATCCATGGCTTAAGGGCTCAAGGTGAGCAGCTTTCATGAATGTTCTGCCTGAAGCCACAGTACAGATGTGACCAAGCCTCACTAAAGGCCGATGTTGTGTCAGACCAGCTGGCCATGTCCCGTGGATTGCTAAATGAGAGGGCTGCAGGGGTGTTTACCATCTCTTTAAACTGAAAAAAAGGCTTGCAACTAAAGCTTTGCAACAAAAACCTCAGTGTAGAGCATGGGGCAGAGCAGCTCTTCAGCAATGCTGAGCTGGAGTGACCACCCTGGCTCTGATGGTGATGGACAGTGGCTCAGAAAGGCAACTGCTAATGAAGAGACTGTTCTCCTCCATCATTCATTCATCTTTCAGGTATTGATTCATTCATCCAACAAACATTTATTGAGAACCTTCCACTTGAAAGATTCTCTACTCCTAAAGATATAACAGTCAAGGAGACGGACACACACACACAAATAATTACCATGTTTTAAAATCAGCACCATGATAGAAATAAGTGCAGAGTGAGGAAGCAGAGAAATGAAATGGCAAACTGCCTGGAGAGTCAGAGATGGTTCAGAGAGGAAGTAACCTGGGATCAAGGAAGGATGAAAATATCAGAGATGTCCTGACCCACCAGCTGTTCCCAAGCATCCAAGGTAAATGTATGAGCAGGAATGTGAGTAGTTTCACTTTAAATACAGGAAGAGTTGGAAAAGGACAGGTCAGGACTTTTCAGCTAAATATGGGGATAAAATCATTGCATGAAGACAACCCAAGTTACTAATCATTGTTTTACTGACAATAACAACTTCTTTCCCAGGGCCCTTCTATGCTCTTCAGTTCCCTATTGTTTGTGGGTAAATACCCACCTGCTATTTCACAGTACTTCTGCTTAATTGGCAATCAGCTGTCTCTAGGAAATAAGATATTATGTTCAAGTGTAACTATTTTTTCCACCCCCATCTTATCACTGAGAAAAAGACTGAGTAGAGAAAATATAGTCTTAAAATAGATAGCTTCTTTAAAAAATAAAAACAGCAATATGATATAAAGTTAGTGCTGAGAATTCTGTTTTCTAAGGTGTCAGCTCAAGGTGGGCAAAGACTATATGATGTTGATTCTCTTTCCCAAAGCAACTAGAGCAGACCTATTCAAATGTTAGTGATCACTTCAAAATCAAATTAAAGAATTATATGCTGCCTGAATAGCCCCTCTTGAGAGTCCTTTTTATCTGAAAACTTTATGGCCCTTGGAACTTTTGAGGCTCTTCAATATAAAATTTCCATAGTCTCAGAGCTGGGTTTCTGGGTCAGCTGGATGCTGCCTCACTGCTCAGCAGAGTGGGCTAGACATGCCGGAGAGCAGGAGCACTTTGGAAAAAGAGTGCCACGCACATGTGATTGGATACACATGGGAATAAGACCACCCTGACTGGTAAAGGAAGAAAAACAAAAACATCAAGATATACCTGGTCAAAGGGCAGCCCGAAGAGATAGAGAAACGCCTCATCCAAAGAATAAATAGTGCAATTCCAGGTGCCTCGGTTCATGGAGTGGACAAGATTTGCCTGGGAGGAGTGATACTGTTGTGTCTAGCCTCCTAAGTGAATCCTACTTCTACAGTCCCTAGCTCTATTTCTTTGTTAGCATTCATGTTAGCAAATAAAACAAATTGTTAATTTTTTTCATCTGGAGAATGTTAAGATTGTGATACAGGAATAAAAACACAGTGTCTTACAGATGTAGCAGATGAAGGCCCAAAGTTCAATAGCCTCCTTATAGTCTCAGAGAACTCAGCACTGTAAGAGGCTTCATGGAAACGTTTTCAGACTGGAGATGGAAACTCCCCTACAGGCGGTGCCCATCCAGGGCATTTCTCTGAACTTGAGAGGGGGTGACAAGAAATGCTTTGTAGGAGCGTGTATGCGTTCCCTCCAGGTCATCATAAAAATTAAAATAAATCATAACATTTTGGAATTCAAAACATCTAATACAGTTCAACTCCTTCTTTTCACAGGTGAGGAAGACAAGGCCTCAGGGAAAACAGTGACTTCACTGAAGTAAGGCAACTACCAAAGCAAATGAAAAAGCCAAAACTTACCTCGAGTCATCTCATTCCAACTTCAAACTCCTCTTCAACTAAAAAGAAAAAAAAAAGATAATAAGCAATAATAAGAAAAACAAAATCTCTACTTTTACAAAGCTAAACTAATCTACATTCCCAGACTATCATGCTCCTTAGTGAGTACCATTTGTCTGCTTCCTACTACGGGAAGTTAGGCTTCTTTTCATGACTCTAATGGGAGCCTGTAGCTCTAGCTTTTCAGAAACAGTTTCATATTCAATGCATTCTTATTCTTCTTGGTTTTACCAGTTCATTAGATAAACTAGAAAATACCTTTCTTCTCCTAAGAAAAATCTCTCTGAGATTGCAGCTTGGTGCTTAGGAAGCACGACGAAGAAAGAGCAGGAATACAAGTCAATCAGAAGACAACCAGACCTCTAACAGAATTCTCTGAGCCCATGTTCATGTGCACATATGCTCCCCTGCACTACGGCAGCCCCATGTTTGCTCTGGGTTTCGACCTGCTTTCATATCCTGGCACCTGCTTCTGGGCCTCTGCATTCATGGGAGCCTGAACTGGTTGAACACAGTGGAGGCTGTCATCCAGCTGCATCCATTATCCCTAGCATGTGCCTAGTTTCCTCTCAGCCACCTTCCTCACCTCTTACTTACTGCCACAGACTTCCGGTTACTACCCCTAGTCACTACTTCTAACCTGTCCTAGGATTTGAGGGACAATCAAGGACCTACAGCAGAGGTCCATATATATGTAGGATTTCCTAGAACAGTTAATTTTTTTAATTGACTCACCACATTTTTATTTTGTTCAATAAGTATATGTTTAAAAGCTACTAATCTATTAGCATCATTACTTTTAATAAATGATCATTTTTGCAGGTTCTGGGTTTTTTAATAATTTGTATTTCAACTCAAAAAGACTAAGAAAGGCATGTCACTGTTATTTCAAATTAGCTTGTCAACAGACTTAACACATTGTTCTTCATTTTCTTATGTCTCACAACTGTGTGAAATTTTTATCACGGGCCTGCATCTGAGAACAACAGCCCTAGAGATCAGAGGTCAAATATCTTCAAGAACCAGGCCAGTAACAAATCACTGGATCAGCACAGAGGGCCAGGATGTGGGGTGAGGAGAGTGAGGTGTTGGCCTTGGATGTAAAACTTAGGGGGATACAAAAAATAAATTGTCATCAAGATAAATAATATTTTAATAAAGCAAAATCAATGTACCAATCTATCTATTTTGAGCAAAATCTTCTATAAAGACAGGATCAGTGTTATGCTGACTTTTCCTCATGCCACAACTCTAACATGGCTCTGCTCTTACCAAAAGCATGAATGCAACCCATAGTGGGAATAGTGGAACTTAGAGAGCACATGACTGGAAAGCAGTCCCATTCATTATATTGTACAATGCTGTGTTCACTGAACACAGGGGGCTCACATGCCATCTCTGGCCCTGGTGCAGTCTACCAATTCATAAATATCAAGTGTCTCAAAAGAGGAGTTACTCTTAGTGCCCCTCTCAGGAATATTGATAGGTCAAGGCAGACTAACCAGAGATTTCTTTACAAAATAAACTGGTAAACTTCATGCAGAATGAAGAGGTACATTGGAATTGAAAAACTCAAGTCTGAAAATTCTCCAAACGAAGAGGGAAATAGGGCTGTCCCTTAAATGCTGCTGTGGGTGCCAAATGGAGAAGGTATCCATCCTGAGGAGATAAAGGGTCAAAGCCCATGAGCTCAGTCTAGGGACCCTAGTTGGATGTCAGCAAGAGGAGTCAGTGTCTTATAGTGGCATCCTGATTCTCTTCTTATGCCTGAGGGGAAAAAAGAGAGGCAAATAAAAAGGGTGAAATATATCTCCCTGAAAGGGTCTGAGCTGAGACTGTAAAGCCATTCTGTGGTCTAATCTTAATGGGTCATACTTATTGAGCACTCCCAATGCTCAGCACTTTATATACATTATCTCATATTGTACTGATAACATCTCTACAAGAAATGCATTATCCTTTTCCATGATGAAGAAACTCAGGGTCATAGTAGTAAAGCTGGGATTTGAATCCAGAGTCTGAATGATCCCAGAGTCTGCGTGCTTAACCACTCACTAGACTCTTAGGAGTTAAGAGAGGTAGGAAGCACTTGCCCAAAATAATACTGATGGAAGGGTGTCTGGAGAGTATGCAAATCTGTCAGTTCCCCCAGACATTTCAAATTTCAGCCTTGGATCAAGCAAGAACACTAGTAAGCTGTACAGCTATCAGCTTGACATTGAAGGACATTATAATGTAACACTGAAGGACAAAACAAATCTAACACAAAGATGCTGTTGAAGGCATCATCCACTACCTTGACACAGTATCCTTTTTACCAATACCCATGGGGAAACATTTCCTGTTACTCTCAGTATCAGGAAAAGCTGTATTCTCCTAGTCACTTTGTTTACAAACACGAACACAGTAAATTCTGTTCCTCTTTGGTTTCCATCTTTGTTATGGCTTCTAGGAATTGTTAAACCAAATTTATATCCCCCATCCAGAAACTCTCCAGGACCATATACCTATAATATGCCTTTTGGTATACATTGCTCATTCTTTGCTGTATTGGTTTCCTACCTGTATTCTCCTGTGATCCTGATTTTCACAGTTCTTTATTGTATATCTTTTCCTTGACTTAGTACAGTGCCTCTAATCTCTTCAGGAATGAAATGCTGAATGAATAATAGTCAATAAATCAGTTATCTTTTTTAAAATTGATTTAAGAGAGAGAAACTTCCATTTTGTTGTTCCACTTATTTATGCATTCATTGGTTCCTTCTTGTATGTGCCCTGACCCGAGATCAAACCCACACTTTGGCATATCTCAGGACAATGCTCTAACCAACTGAGCCACCCAGACAGAACTCAGGCGTCTTTTTTTTAATGAATTGAAAGAGATGCATGACACCTACTCAAATTCCTGAATCCCAAATCAGAGGACTTGAAAGACTTGATCAACAAGGTAGTGCCTGTGGGGACCCTCTGATCAATGGAAGTAGTACCAACACAGCAACTAGCAAAGTGATGATTTGGATGGAAAGGGTGAGTGATGACCTCATGTTAGCAAGAAGAGGAACAATAATGCTCCCCCAAAGGCATTTAAACCACCCTGGGAACCCTGTAAATGAGAAAGAACTTCGGAGGACTGGGTTTCTACTTGTGAGACTGGTAAAGGCTTCAACCTGAAACTCCTATTAGCATAACCCAAACACTTCTGAATCCATAATTCTGGGCTGCAGTGTCCTGCAAGACATGATTATATATATGCAAGATGGAGCCATGGTTTTGCATCGGTTTGCTTTGTTGGTAGCTCCAAATCATAATTATACTTTTGGGTACCAGGTTTTATCCCAGGTCGACAGATCAGTGTTATTTCACTTTCTAGGACCCCCAAATGTTCCCAAAGCTACCCCTATTCAAGTCATTCAAACCTTTAGTTGTAGACCCAATAATAAAGCCCTAGCAAAGCCAGGTTAATTAGTCTGTTCCAAATGGTCAGTGAGGAAAGGAATGTCCAAGAGGAAGGTAATTTGGCTGAAGAGGAATCATATGAGAGGAAGTCTTGTTAGGACCTTACTCAGCCTGTAGAAGCAAAACATTCTAAATTCTGTTTCAGGTTCTCCCTGTTGGATCCTGATTGACAGACTAATTAAGCACATTGCCCCTCACCTGGGCAATGATCTGGAGCTTAATAATGCATGATCATTCCAGTGCTTTTCCTAAATGACTATACATGTCAGAAGAAAATGTCTTATGCTTGGAGCACCCTTCTACCTCCTAGATGGAATGTTACTCAATTTATGAATTGCTTAAAGAAAACAATTAAGGCTTCCAGTCAAGATAGTGGCATAGGTAAATGCAGTACTCAAATCCTTCACACAACCACATCAAAAATTACAACTAAACCACAGAACAATGATTATTCATAGTCACCTGAAATCTACCTGAATTGAAGCCCTACAACTAGAGATTTAAAGAAGAAGCCATATTGAGACTGGTAGGAAGGGCAGAGAATGGAATAGGCTAGGCCCACACCCACATGTGGCACATAAAAATCTGGAGAGATATCTTAGCTGTGTAGGTCCCCCTTAAGGAGCAAGGGGTCCCAAACCCACACCAGACCCTCCAGCCCAGGATTACAGTACCAGAAAGAGAAGTCCCATAACTTCTGACTTTAAAAACAAGCAGGGACCATTGGTGAGTGAGACAGAGGACTTCTGGAGTCCCAGACAGTTCATGTTAAGGGTTCATGCACACACTTACTTGGGTTCAATCCCTCTGAGCTCCAGAACTGGGGCAGCAGCTTAAAATGAATAAGGGACACACAAGGAAAAACTAAATTGTCTGGCATCAGGGTGAGAGCTGAGGGGACAGCTTTCTGTCAGACAAAAGTGCCAACAGAGGCCGTTGTTCCTCTTCTGAGCCACCCTCCCCAACAGAGCTGGCAGGTGGGTGCCATATCTGAGTCTTCATCAACCTGGCTCATACTGTTTGCCCCACCTTGGAGATCCCTGAGACGATGCCCCCATCTCATCCAGCCTTCAAACCCACTCAAGCTGTTTCAAGAAACTTTTCCATACAAATGACTGGTCTTGGCTTATGCTTCAGACCTCCTAAAATCTCACAAACAAGCAGCAGCTGGCCTCAGCATGCCTCATATCTCTCACTAAGTGGCCCCAAGCCTAGCACTAGCAGCAGCCAGCCTTGATTTGCAGCTTGGCCTCTTCTGGATATCTCCAAGCCCAGCATAAGTAGCAAGTATCTGAAGATCACTTTGTAGCTCATGTCAGGTGGCCATAGTAGAACATAGGTGGCAGACCTTGACCTACAACTCAGGAAGTACCAGAGCCAGCACAACCAGTAGATAGCTTCAGATCACATTGAAGCACCACCCAACCACCTCCATAAGTAACACATCCAAGTGGCAGACTCAGCAAGCAACAGAACCCTACCGAAGTAAGTCCTGCTCTGGGGGTCCACCCCTGCACATGTGAGCCAGTCTGTGTGTCTCCCT